GTTAAAGGAGAAATAAGATTCATGCACCTGATTCTCAAGCGTCAGAAAACAGCAGCAGCCATCATTGTCGTTCGACAAAAGATTCGATCGCCTATGCTTTATATCTATTCCAATTCCACGTTTATTTTCAGCTATTGAATAACACTGTGGACGAGTGGAGTGTCGCTACCTGTCGATCTAGTCTTTCCGGCCGCAGAGGAGACTTCGTTATATTTTCGAAGGTCGTGCAAGTGAACGTGCCAAAAGTTATCCTTACCCAGATTTCATCTTGATCCCAATACAGTTTGCATAGCCGTCACGCATTACCGAATTTGCAGCCTCCACAGATCGACGGAGGTCTAACCAAAGTAATTAACAAAAATATCGATCCGAATCAATTATCTTTAGACGTGATATTGATAACCATGAAAAATATCCATAATAAATATCGAACGATTGTTAAAAGCCATCAGGAAGAGGACGGGGGCTCGGCAATGATTACTCTCCCGTTATCTTGTCTCGATCAAGGAGCGATTTCCGTACACGCGATTATCCATGTTGCTCGACAGCACCGGAGTAGAAAGTGAGCGCGTCGCTTCATGGAAACGAAAGGGAAGTTTACCACGGTACCCATGCTCCGAAGGGAGGTAAAATGGATTCCCATTACAAAAGAGATAAAACATATAAGACCCCAGACAGTGCAGAGTGTGTTAACCAATGGAAGGGAAACTTTACCACGCTCGATTTCCTTCTCCTCGCGTCGCGGTTAACTGAAGCTACGTGAGATTTCAGCGAAACTCACGGCATATACGAATCGCTACAGTGATAACTTTTTAACCTAGTTAAATTAAATTGCAACATTACCGCGTAGCTCAATAATTTACTGCAGCACCTACCAGTGACATGTCATGACTTTTGCAAAACATACTCCCGCTACGATTTGTTATTGCGCAAAGTCCGAATCGCCCGACTTTTCCTACTTGCTGATCGCGGAGTCGCGGAATTTGCTGAGGCGTGAACACGGTTTCGAAGAATTTTCGTGAAAAATTGTCTGCTATTTTTTTTTATCCCGGGTTCAACGACACGTTCCGTACTCCGATGTGGTAGTAGATCTTGAGTAACGTCTCTGGCACTGTTGACCTCTTGTCGAGACATTATTTTAGGGCGATCTATAGATCCCCGAAGAATGGCAAACTTGACTAGGGTCGTAATAGAGAAGGCAGACGGGTAACCAGCCTGCCGACAGTCGAAACTCGACACACGGCGCGAGTCGGTTGGCAAAACGCCAGTACATTGTTCTTTAGCTGGGCTAGCCTGGGTGTACGCTCCTAGCGTCGAGAATTGGCCCTGATCGAAGGTGCAACACGACTGCTGGTACTACGAGACACAGAGTAAGGAAGATCCGACTGTCATAGAGAAATGCTTGATATTCCTTTCTTGTATAACCCCAGCAGCCATTCCCGGTCCAGTAAGATAATCTACCCGGAGGGCATGTATTACGGGACCGCGAGTTACATTTGCTGTACTGCTTCGCGTCCTTAGAGAGACACTGGTGAACGTAGTGCGCGATACGTTCAACGTGTGAGATCTCTACTTATGGCATGCGTGTGTACGCATACGGTGCGCAAGTCCCGATGCGTCAGAACGGCCAGAGTGATTAATGTGTTTGTCGGTTTTCGCGAGTGAGAAACTAACCCAGGAGGTTGAAGACCTTTCGACTGACATATATATGTATATTGCCCAGAGCTAGTAAAAGAGCACCGTTTTCAGTATCGAAAGCAAGCGGAGCCAAGAAATTGAGGAAACAAGACAACGTTTAACGGAGAATAACGAGTCCCAAGACACGAGTCTCTCCGTCCGTTTACCGATACGCGAATAAATCCTATACGGCTGTATGCTCTTTGGTTTATCTTCCTTTTGACCTTCCGTAGGCTCTTTCGATCTCCGGCCCCTCGCTCCTTCGCGCCTCAACTCTCTCGTGACTCTCTAGCGAGGATTTCTGACAATGAGCTGCGTTTCTGGCCGAGCGCAACGAGCGCATAGCGCTCACGTATAACATTGGAGCGTAGTACGCGAGTAGCGTGCAGCGAGAGTAACGCCTTTCATTGAGAGTTGACGGTTATACGTACGTAGAGGGTTAAGCCGAGACTCTTTAATTTTTCTTTCACTCGTTAAAACGGCCTCTCTATTCTCGGTATAGCGTAGCCTCTGTACCAGAATGGGGGGTATTATAGTATTAGAAGTGCGAGAGGAAACTTGGCTCGTGTCAAGATGTATCGTCCTAAATAACGATGGGCCACGTGCAGAAATAGCAATGGCTACTCGGTCCATTCGCGAGACTCGCTCGTTGACGATTCCGAGAAGACGTTGACGATCGATGCCGAGATGACGATTCGAGAAGACCGGGAGACCGAGTGCCGCCTGTCTCGATGATGGTTCTCGCTTGTAGATTCTCGGAAGGCCGCGTCTCCTCTACGCGAAGCTGTCTGCGCTTCGCCCGATGAGCGGAGTGAGCAGGACGGAGCAAGAAGAGCGGAGCAAGAAAGAGCGAGCGAGAGAAGAGACAGACAGACTACCAGCCAGCGTAATGAGCGGAATGGATTAGATGTGGAATGCCGGGGAAAATTACGACGGAATCGTGCATAACCGTGAAAGATATTATGATTCTTGACTAACCGTCATACTTTTGCGTCCTCACTCGTGGAAACGTTCATGATTTCAGGGCTTCAGGCAATTCGCCAGGAATGTGCTTGGCTGGTCGAAAGTCGTGCGAAGTACGAAGGCCACATAGCGGCTGTTTTGTGTACCTCTGCCGTTGCTTTTGTCTCGTTTACGGTCCACGATTAGCAGCCTAACGCGTTAGCGATGATAACGAACGGTGGTTGCGAATGCAAATTTACGACGAGAAAGTACGGAAAGTGTTTTTAAATTATCGATATACTGCGCCGAAGCACCGAGATAAATGCTAAGGAGCGTATCTGAGGGTGAAAGATTGAGCTTCTCGGCGAGAACAAAGAACCGGTCTTGATGCGGACGAGTCAAGGGGGAAATGTCGAGCGAGAAACCAAGTGACTAAAGGAATGACATCATCGTAATATCCCCCTTTGGAATCGTCCACCTATGCCTATACAGATGCACGTACGTGTCCGTGAGGCAAAACGTGCTATCTTTTCAAGCAGCCCGGAGCGTTCAGTCGATACGCAAGAGTGGCTACGTATATTCGCACGGCCATTGCGATTTTATAATTGCTCGTATGCTACGTACAGTGTTATATCGCTGATATAACGAGTCATTACAGTTGTTCCTTATATGGGTTAAAGCTGTGCGTTAAAAAGTCAATATGCATTGCGATATTACAAAATCTGATCCTTCGCTCGTTCACAAGATCACGAGAAGGGTAGAGCGCAGGTGCCGTAGTTTTTGATGAAGGACGACGAAGAGTCCCTCTGGGAAACAATGGCTGTCCATTTCCTCTCGAAACTAAGAGACAGAGAGAGATAAGGTGACGCGGGGAACAGGCCAGCGGGAACGAATGACCAAGGCCTAACGATATACGGCTGAACGAGCAGGCGTTCGAATGCGTACAATAATTGCTGGGCTAGTCGCGTTGGGGAACGTGCTAGTGGCGGATCAAGAGTGACAGACAGTTTTGGGTCATGGTCGGTGTATCGTGCAAATATTTTCGCAAGTGGGCACATGCGACGTTAACTCCTCTTGTAATTCCCTGTATTCCCTATTCGCAGCTGGGGTCGAAAGAAGCGAGACGATGACACGCGGTACTCGGGTCGCGCACGTCGACGTCTTGGGTACCGGCCTACGGATGAAGAGACGGAACGAAGGGGGGCTGATGGAAATAGAAAGAGAAATTGGGACAAGGCGCTCCTAAATTCGCAGAAAGATTCGTCGGGGTCTTAAGGTCGATGGGTGGAGGCTGCTCTACATTTTTTTATCCTACTCTGCGACTCTTTCGTCCCGTCATGCTCATCTGAGAACAAGATGAAAATAAAAAGGGGTCGTACGAGTCATCTCATCTTTTAACGATTACAGAATTGCAAACTGTGTTAACCATGTGTCGCTATGCCGTTATACTTCTGCAGTGGTATTAATACAGACTAGGCTGAAGTGTATCGAGTTCCAAATAGGCCTCGTGGTTTAACGTTAGATTCCTATGCGCGGGTCTGCTAGTTAAAATTGTATCGCAAACAGTCAGTCAGACAGTCAGTCGAGCAAATAAGCAACGAGGCAGGCAGTCAGTCAGGCAAACAGTCAGGCACGGAGGTGCCAGAATGTCTGGCATAAAAGGGACGACTCACAACGTTGTGGTTTCGAAAGCGATAGCGTTTCGTGTTCTAGTTCGTTTATGAGAACTCCATGTAAATACGTATCGATGATTAAAGTCCCGCACAACAAATACAAGCGAGGGATCGGCGATACGGAAAATATTCATGTACGGTTGAGTATACTCAATCGCATGAAAACTTTTAATATAGCAATGAGTCTGGCAATAATGTATCTAATGATCCAGTACCATACTCGTTGCCATACATCAATTTTCAGTGGCATTGCATGCACGGCGATAGTACGGCAGCAGTATCGCAGATGTATTAGCTTACACGTAATAGCTAGATGATCACGAGGATGATGAGTAGGAGTAATGTCGAGAGGCTGAAGAAGTAGACATGGTAGTATTAACAAACAAAACACGCGACTAGTACAATTCACGCGTAGACTCGGTTCGGTTCCGAGGATTTGCACAAATTAACATAGAAACTCGAGGTCCGCTCGTGGAACAGAGGGAACGCAAACCGTGCGCCTCGATATGCCCACGAGATTTAAATGTCAGCTCGGGGCGATATGCTAATCGGAAATCGGTGGGCCGGTTCGCGGCAGCCAGACGCAAACCTTTTGCACAATCTTAGTTGCGAAAGAATATTCGCGGACTCTGGTTATGATTTGACGTTATGCTCGAAATAGAAAAATCTTTTCGTTACGTACTGCGAGAACTGACGTCAATTATTATTACGTTCCTTTCTTTACTCGACACTCATTTCCGGACGTCGCAATGGAAAAACACTAGACACTCCCGTCCTTCCTCGTTAGGCTATTTCGTAATGCACAATATACATACGAGTATCACGTGAAAGAAAGATGAGATCTGGACAGGCGCACGTTATCAAGGTAGTACCACTGGTACTTAACCTATACCTTAGGAGATTCCCAATATAATCATTGTCACCAGGGGCAGATTTCTTTAGCAAAGAATTTTATTCATACGCGGAGGAACACAATTACCGAGTCAATTCTCGTTCGGTCGTTCCTAGTTTGCGAACGGTGTCACGTAACTTTCTACTTGCGCCGTGCAAAAACGGCTGCGGTCGACAGCAGGCATGGAGACGGCCATTCAGGCATTCAGGCAGTGAGCCGAGGTATATCGTATAAACTACAGGTAGAATCGCGTATGCTTTCCCAAGAGAGTCAAGAGTCCCGTATTTTCCTCCCCGGGGGTCAATTGTCAACCTCATCTCTTTTACATTTTTTTTACATACCTTCCGGCAGTACAACAACGTCCCGAATACCCGATGCCAAAGCGCTAAATTGTTTTCTGATGTTTTTCATCTGTGTCGTAACTAGAGTTTCTAGACGTCTTCTCGATGCCTGTGCTAATAATGTTCGAAGGAGTCTACACTGTAAGGTTATGTTGGACTGTCTGGTTTACCAGCTTATCCTTCCTGTCGCAGTCTCATGGAAACGAGATCGTACGATCCGCGCGCTCTCACTTCGCTACCGTCGTGACTGCTACGCTGGTAGATGAAAAGAAAAGGAAAAAAAAAGAAGGAAGATGGCGAACCTTAGGCTCCTACACCTTCTCTATGTCTGATACACGACAGATTAGACATACGTTAGAAAATACTACATGACACCGTACGCGAATAGTACTGAGACTGGTACAACGTGATTCCCTGCTGCATTTATCGACACTCGTTGGCTTCTCACTTCGAAACTAATGGAGATATCGACTTCCGCTTGGCGCCGTACACGCTTTCTAGGGTCATTTTGCGCTGACCTCTCCTGAGCCGTGTGTGCAAACAATGCAAATGAGAGTTGCGACTATACGACAGCCATTAGAGGTACCATCCATTTGAGATCGTAGAACGCTTTTACCCGGTGTCTCGCCAAGTTTCCATCGTACGAACCGTGACGTATCAATTACACCGATGTGGGTCACTATCGAAGAATCGTCAGTGAGGTACAAAATTGCAGATAGATTAAAAGAAGTCATCGATATCCAAAAGAGAAAATAACGTCTGGTAAGACCGTACGCAGCAAATGGAAAATTTCAAAGAGTCACCTCGCTCATCTTGTTCGCGCGTTACGCGAAATTACACGCGCGCCTGGAGCCTGCGACGGGCTGAGCTTGTTTACGGTACTCGCGTGACTCGAAGAGAAACAAAAGTACTCGACGGAGACACCATGGAAAAGCTGACCTAACGCAAGACGATACTTACGCCGCGATGGCAAAATAAATATTCGTTCGATCGTCCAGCCTATAAAAGAGAACAATCTGCGCTTGTTCAAAGATGACGTCAGCGCTTGAAATCGCGTGATAGGAAGTTATGAGAAACGGCGAGAAAGTAACCAGGCTAAAGCGTCATTCTATTCCCTACACTATGCATTAGCGTACAGGGTATGTACGGTCTGTAGCACCTATCGATCGACATACCGTACCAACATCGACGCTTGGACCTTGGCCATCCTTCGTATGCGTTCATTCTTATTCTTATCCCGTTAAATTATATTCAATAGTCTAGTTATACAATTCCAGTCAACCTCCAGCAATGTTTGCAGTAGGGAGCACGTAGTGCGTGCAAGAGTAACGGAGAAAGGCAGAAGGTTTCTTTGCAATAATGACAAATCAAAGGATCGGCTGCCAATGTCGGTCAGTCGATACGATTCTGGGTCGCACGAGACTTCAAGCGTTATTCACACGAGGACCGAGTAAATGTTCAAGGGCAACGTAACGTTGAGTATATTTAAAGAAGTTCCCCCCCTCTTATCAGGGGTGAAAGGAGGTGGAGAGCGGAAGCGAAGTGGGTTCATTGAAAAATCACGCGAAAGAATAATAAAAACGGCTCAGTTCGAGCGAGCAAAGTTAATAAAAATCAATGAAAGGATCATTCATAAAATGCAACGAGTATTTAATAATGCAAATCGTTAGACCTTGTGCGCCTTACCTGGATGACAGTGTTTACACTGTATGGGAGCCAACTTCACGACGGAGATGAAAAGTTCGAGAAGTGGTTGCGCACGCGCGACAAGGGCAGGGTAATTTTTTTTAAACCCACCTACGTACACATAACTCCAGCAGGATGCATGAACGTCGCAAACTGATGGATATTAAATTTCGCATTGCCATGCACGACGTATCTCGAGGATAGCCGCGTCGCCAGTGCAATCCGACTGTAGAATGCAGATAGGTCGTATCGCCGGTAGGGGGCTTCCGCGTGCGTTACATTCTACATTGAAGATTGTAGAGGGAGTACTCGGATGACCGTAGTTTTGTCGTCGGCGATTGCGTAACGAAGTACGTATATACACGAGAGACAATTTATTCCGTATCAGAGGAGGGTAAACGATCGATCCGTTGATGGAAACCCGGTAGCGTCACAATGACAGATAGGCCCACTACGGAAAACGATAGCATACGAAATGGCAACGGTACGATAAAGGTTAGAAGACCAGCACGTGACCTGGACAACGTTACCGCATTGGGGGATACTTTCCGGTGGTCGAAAAATAGTCGTGACCCAAAGCATATATACATATACATATATATACATATATATATATATATATACATATATATATATATATATACATATATATATATACATATATATGTATATTGTACGCTTTAATCATATGAACGCGAGAGAGGCAGTACCTACGGCTGACGAGAGAGACGGATATATACAGTGACGTGTTGGTACGAGGGTCAGGTAATGGACCGCCCGAGCATTTTTGCGCTCAACAACAAGTCATGTATCGTATGCCGTTTACGAATGGCGGCACGCGAGCCAGCCGCACAACGATTTCAATTCTGTGTTCCGAGTGTGAGTCACGTCCGCGAATAACCGAGTGACTGGCCTACGGCTCTATTCACGCTGGGCTACTCCTTCTTCCTGACAAGGAGCGTTATAGGGAACTAAGAGAAATTATTATACATATGTTGATACGATCCAAGCTATTGTTATATTACACAAAGTCTCCGGTCTCGATCGATCGATTGGATCAATTAACTTTGGTATGCTCTTCGATATCGTTGCCAGAGGACAATGTTTTTTTTTCTTCAGTTTTTTTCCTCTTTACGAACTCATCGATGTTATTACCAGGAGACCCGTGGTAAATTACAAACGTGAGCATCACGTGATTCGAACAGACTCTCCGAACGTGGACAGAGGTAAACTATGGTCTGTTCAATTATTTTCTTTCGCATTCCACTTTAGCTTCGAAAAGAGACGCTGAGGATGTTGATGGTCCGTGCGTATTTCTAGAACATACGGTAAGCACAAAACAGACGAGCGCGACTTCCGCTTCCGTCGAGTTTCGTTTTTTATGCTTTACCAACCGTACGACGCGAACGCGCAAGCCAGACGGTACACGTTGCTCTACAGAGCGATTCCCGGTTTATATATAGTTGCATACAACGTGGCAATCTATTTATTAACACGTCAATATTTGCTAATCTTACGTGCTTGTAGTTTCGTACATCGATACGGATGACCTAATCATCCGCGTACACGTAATGCACACCCCACTTATCTACCTCTGACCCCTCGCTCCTCCAAACCCAAATAATCTTCACTTGTCACAAGACACTTCAGAAATATTCCGACAGTGGATGTACAGGTAGCAGATATGTTCACAGTGATATCGGTACATGCAGTATCAATAAATAGGATCCCGTGTTGATACAAGTAGCTCATATGTATTTTTTCACTCTCTAATAGACTCGTCCTCGAGTAGCATGCAAACTCTATTAAAGCCAAATACTAATAAATATACCAAACATCACGATCGATAATCGTCGATCATTCTAAGCGCATACACGTTTAGGCACTCACGATTGGCCGTGTAAGTCGAGGTGTATATATATAACTATGGTGACAATTGTGGCATAATAAGGGAGCGGTTATCACGCTCGGCGAAGCCTTATCTATCCAGGTATGTGCTTCGAAAGATAATCAGCCGATCGAGTGTGTCCCGACAGCACCAACGAAGAGAGTCAATATTATATTCAAAATATTTTCATATATCATCGATCGATTACCCAACCCCTCATTTCTTAATTCGATTCGATTAATGATTTATCATAATGATCTTAAGGTCATATGCTTATCACGGGATGGTTATTTATTGATAAGTGTACTTCATGTATCTTCAGTATATATGCGTGCAATTAGGATAACGATGAATAAAATTTAAAAAAATATTTTACCCCGTGCGAATGGGGCGTGTATACCAAAGCTATAGCAAAACGACATACTCCTCGTTCTAACCATCCCATGTACACGTGCTTCTAGCCTGGAGGTCACGAACATAGCATACGTCGTGACACGTATGTATACCCCACCTATGAGAATGTCTGAGGGACGCACATAGACGGCCGCCGCGCTCTGGCTCCTCGACTGCGGGAGACACCTACGCGTAAACAAGCCGTGACGTCATCTAGTTATTTACGAGAATGCTAGTGGCCTGTATATCGTATAGCTGCACGCCAAAAAGCCATTGGAATCTTGCTGGATTCTTTTTTTTCTTACCCTCGAGCATAACGTGTATTCATCCCTATTGCTATATCCATGCAGTCATCCTAATCGAACTTAATGACCCTTCGCCCGGGACTATCTTAACAATGACTGACCGTATGCCTAATGTCTCGTGGGACTTTTACTTAAATGCTCTGTGGTTCTTGTACGATTCCATTGCGAATTTTCATACTAGGAGCAGGAGTGAGCGCGTGACGTCAGTCGTACGTCAAATTGTTGCAAGCAACTTCAAGTGCTATCGCGATGGAACTTTTTATCGGTCGAGTGTATAGATGCATGGTAACGTTAAGAGGGAATAAGGTATGAATTCTCAGAAAGGTTTTATCGAACTGTACCACAAAGAAACTTTTTACCTGACAAGTCGCGCGTGTAATATTTACACGAGAAATATTTTATCGGTTTCGGTGAGCACGTGTCGCGTCGATGCTATTTTGACAGCGTTGGCGTTATGCTCCGAGAATCGATTGGCACGCGCGCGAGACCTTGCGGAATATTAACGAACCCAGGTCGATTCCCCGTTTACGATCCCGAACATAACCGATTCGTAATACTTAGTGAATATATAACAGTTGTACCATATGTGGTATTCAAAAACTGTTGCCAACTTTCAAAAAGATAATATCGACCGATCTTTATCATTAGAATAATAGGTTTCATCTTAAACGTAAACATTAAATTGGCATAGTTCAAACTTTGGAAATACCTGGTCAAAATGCATAATTGTGACACTTTGATTGAAGAAATTAAAAAAAAATTTTTTTATAGACAATGTTTTGTCTTACAGATGTATGCAAAGCAGTTGGAAAATTTTCCTGTGAAATTTTCATCGTACATTTATTTTTAATCTCCACGTGCGCCGTGTTGGTGTTCAGGCCTTGGTATTCGAATAGGTTATATTTAATACGATGCTCTACGAAAAATAGAATCCGTAGTGATACACACGCCAAACACTGACACCGCGTAGAGTATTAATGAACATTATATTATTCTAATATTGTTATCTATGTATATCAAGTTAGTGTCACTTTTTAATCTCAAGTTCAAATATCTCAGTGACTTCCTGTGCCATACTCGTCCCTTGCGTATGCGACTTCCTTATATGCTATTGCTAGCATAAGGTGTCGAGTTTGTAATACGAGTATATGTATCTATGTGTACATATGACGATACGATAAGACTGTCGAGAATTCTTGGCACGTCGGACAAAGTAATGACTGGTTTCTGACACCAGCATTCAAATATTCAATGATATTTGGTGAAACGTCTAATTAAAATTCCGCAAGCAGACACAGTGACCACTGGACGCAATAGAGTCAAAATAAAAATAACAAATCTTGACTCACCCTTTCTACGTCCAAATGGTCCAAAGAAGATGCCATTTTTACCGATTACGTTGTCATCGATATACTTCAGTAGCTTGCTAGCGTCTTCGCCCTTCTTCGCGGCAATCGACTTGACAGGGCGGGGCGGTATCCTTGGCACCCCCAGGACTCCAGCACTTCCGGTGGTTCCCGTGCTTCCCGTAGCTGCACCAGAGGTCGTGCCAGTGGTACTAGGAATACCAGAGGCGTTAGTACCTGGAGTACTTGAGGTCGGCGCAGAGGAGATCGTACTGGACTCCTCGGCCAGGGAGTTGATCCTTCTCTGCGAACCACTCCAGCTCTTCCCACTCGAAATCTTCACCGAGCAGCTCATCCTCTCATAGTACGCACGAGCGTTCGCCGCTTATGTAAACTAGTAACGTCCGGCGAAAAAGCCGACGTAGACGAAGCAAATGGAAATCCAAGTACTTGGTCGTACTTCCCGCAAATCGCCACGCACGTACCTTTTTTCACTTGTACTTTCTTTATACCCTATTGTCTTTGTATTTTTCACCTCTCGCGTGCCGTAATCGCACAATTTTATTACAGCAGTATATATGTAAGTTTTGCTCACGGCTATTATTATTATCGGTACGATAAAGGAAGCCTGTTTCTTTTTGTTTCTTTTTTTCTTTTAAATAATTTCGTTATTATTCCCTGGACTGGGACTGGAATGACTGTTGTGCTTCGCTGGACCCGTTTTCCACTAGGAAATATTCTGTTCTCCAAATTGTAATGGTGAATTCGCCGTGAAGAAGGCACTTGGCTGCGAACCGGTTGGCGAACAATTGCGAAATCGTCGAGCACAGGGCGAGGTCCTGATGACGCTTTAGTGGTCCAGAGAAGATTGATCGATGTCAATTATTAAGAAAGCTTCTCTAATCGCGAATGACCGATAATTAATGCTCCGATCGATTTATTCGCGCGATGTACAATATAGTCAATGTCTATTAACTTTATTGTTTTTTTTTTTTACACACTTCACTCACTTCCTTCGGGCACCGTTAATCAATTGTCGCGGTGACTTGCGCGTCTCCTGATTTTGATGCACGTTAATTTACGACGCGTCGTGTAATTAAATAATCATGAAAAATTAATTTTTTATCATCAAAATTTGCATCTCTCAATTTATCTCTCTCTGCACTCGTTTTCCTCGACTTTCTAGTTGCGAGAATTACACTATTTTCTGTTTCTCCTGCTTATCCTTTCTCTTTGTTTTACACTCTCTCCGTATGTGTCTGTCCGTTTGTCTCTCCTTCGCTTCACCCACACTTCGTTCCCACTGGAGAGCAAACGTACGCAATCTCACTGAGCGCTACGCCGAGACTGACTGTCTAGTAGCAGGCTGGCAGCCTGGTTCGCCAATGACGTCACCGGGCCACGCACGCGCCTCACCATCGGCACGACCCGTCGCGACGCTCTGTGCTTTTGGCCTGTATCTCTGTGCTTGCGAGCTTACAACACTTTTATCTACGAACTTTATGCTTTAATTACTTAAACTCGAATCACTTCGCAATTATATTGTACCGATTTAAGACGCTTTTTTTAATCCTGTTTTTAGCTTTCTCCATAATGATTGTTTCTTTGAATACTTATCATTATTGAATATAGCCAATGCATCGTTACTTTGTCAATGGTTTCAATTCTATGGAGTTCATTGACATTCTGAAATTGTCTGACTCTGGTATCATATGTATATTAAATCGAATATATACTTGCTTTACCTTGAATCAAACTTTCCATGGCAACCGAACTCACCTAACCTCACGAAGTCTAAATCGACTAACGACTTTCTCAGGTCTCAGCCCTTTCGCTACTTTTACTCGTAACCTCGACGTGCTCGCATTCATCTACCGTATCTCGAATCTTCTTCAAACTGTGGAAAGATGCTCAAGTTCCAGTTGGCTACTCCCGAGGACCGTAAGGTCGCAGCCTCCATAGAACGCAGAAGACGAATAGAGGAAGCAAGAAAAGCACATATCTTCGATCCTCGTTCCAGGCGAATTGGGGTAAGCCTTCTTTTTATTGTACGTCCTTCAAGAACTATTGTATATTTTTTCCATTTAGGTAAATGACGTGGCTGTTTCTAGATTGAAAATTGCTTTTTTTTTTTCATTTCCACTATTTCCTTCAAGATTTGTATATATTTTTAAAGGAATTATTTTCCATGACTGGTGACTCGTTAGCGATAGAACCAATAGCGATCCTGAGAAACGTTTGCGTCGCTGCGAAATCGTGAATGCAGGTGGAACGAGTTCGGTTGCACAGCTCAAAATACCAGGGACAAAGTTAACGTTGCGTGACCGTGTGCCATTAGTTGAGCCACGGACAATTTAGATTCGAGAAAGACGAACGAGGTGCTGCTCAAATATAAATTTGATGATGCGATTCCGCGATTCTGCAATTCCGCTGTTGAGGATGATGGAAGTCGTGCAGATTATGAGTAGCTGTGATAAGGGACGGCTGATGTAACAAACTTCTCTATGTAGATCGACAAGGACTTCTTGGACAGGCAAATAGAGGAAAAGAAGCAGCAGCGTCAACTGGAACAGGCAAAGGAATGTCAAATGGACGAGGCGTTGATTCGTAGCAGCAAACTGGCGCTTCTTTACGAAAAGGAAGAAGAGGAGGTCAATTGAATTTGTAGTAATCAGAAATTGGAGTTCTCTTTCTTCCATTAAAGAGCAATTCTGACGTTTGGAATATTTCAGAGAAGAAAAAAAATAAATCAAGAGATAAATACCTTCAGGCAGGTTCACCAGCGTCCAGAATGTCGTCGTGACTTCGACCTGAATGACCCTGACATCCTGAAAAAATTAATTCCAGTTAACAATGATGATCGTGACTTGGGTCTGGCGTCGGCACAAAAGTAAGGATCTCTTTGCGAATCTCTTATGATTTCTCTAACATATTTTTATTTTAGATTTGAAGGCGAAGACACCGACTTACCTGAGAGATTGAAGATTCAAAAGGAACAGATGCAATCTTGGTTGGAGCAGCAAATTATAGAGCGTCGCGCATCAGAGAAGGAGCGTCGGGACGCCGAGCAAGCTTATCAAGACGCCGTAGTAGCTCGAGATAAGAGAGCACTGGATCTGGAACGAATGGAACAAGAATGTCGGCGTAGATTAAACGAAGCTACATTAAGATTTAATTGTGCTTTGGTAAAACTAACAAATTGATTTTCATTTCAAGAAAATTGAATAACAAATTTTTTTGTGTTTCTGATATTTTTTTTTAAATAGGCACAAGAACAGGAACATAGAAGACGTTGTATGAGTATCCAAGAGGAGGAAGACAACCAAGCGGAAATCTACAATCATGTCACGGGCGATTTCCTTACCGAAGCCAAGGAACAGGCTGAGAGTAATCGTGGACCCCATAAACCTTTAGCTTCTCGTTACAAGGGTATGACCTCGGAGGAACTTAAGATCTTCCGGGACGAGCAGGCACGACAAATGCAGGAAATCCTTGTGAGAATCGATTGTTCTTTTGTTCTTGTTGCAACTCCGGTTCTCTTTACCAGTGACATTTACTTTTAGAAAATTAAACTGGAAGAAAAGAAACAGAACGAGGACTGGGATAAACTAATGAGTAGCAACGCGCGAGCCGCTGAAAATTATCAACGCGAATTGGACCGTAAGAAAACGTAAATGAATACAATATCGAATTTATTTGTATGCTAGGAATTACGTTTCTAAAATTTTCTAAGAGAATTCTATCGGTTGCTTCAGTGACCTGAGAAAGAAAATTGCCGAAGAAAATCTGCGACTGGCTGAACAACAGAAATCCTATCAGGAATATCTTAACAGAGTTGTGTACAAGAACAAGCCAAGTCCTGAATTCTTTGAGCAGTTCAATAAAAGCACCAGATAAGTATAAAGATCACTATTTTAACAATGTAATTTTACCTTTTCTATGGTATGTATACGTGGCTTATAAAATAAAGTCTTGAACGAATGTGGATTCATGTGGTAGATTTATTTGTTTTTCACACTTGCGAGAAATGGCGTGCGAATGGGAAGAGTCGTTGATGGTGTTCAACGGCATTAATGCTACGGGTTAATTTAAGAATCAGTAAATAATGCATGCTTAGTCACGTCCTCGTAGTACGAATATTATACTGATACTATAGTACAGTGGCGACATTCTACGGTATATAAATGAATCTACAGAATTTGAAAGTCCACCATATCTTTTACCACCATGGATAAGGAAGAATTCCATGTGACATCCATCTTTTTAAATGTTGTTCCAAGCAGCTTCAGTTCTTGCTGTCAAAATTTACGGCAGTATTGTGCATACTTTTTTGCAATATTCCACCGACAAATATTTTTCTCAGCATGAATTAAATTACACGTCTAATAAGTTGGATGTTGCTGCATTGTAAACAGGGGTCATGTTGAATGAAAAAATTATGGGGTCTGAACGAGAGCTTGCATCGAAAATGAGGTAAGTTCATGGTTATGTTTACTGCTTTTGTTTATGTTTTTTTCCACTAAATATTAAAGCACATTACTGATTAGCGTTCTTGGAGAAAGCTCAATTACGCAAGAGTACTCTGCTATCGTGGAAGCTCTTAAACAAGAATTGAATGTATGCAAGGTGAGTCCTATTACTTATGTGTTCACTTTCAATATGGTTTTTGTATAATGTATAATTTACAGGCGGAACAAACGATGCTTCGAACAGAACTGGAGTGTCTTAGGAAGGAAACAAAGAGTGCTGGTGATATAGCGCAAGAATGTTTTTCTCATGGTCAATGGGAGGGATGTAATAGTCATGAAACTAATAAGGAGATGATACTAAACCTACAGAAACGTATTGCTATTGTGCAAATGGAAAAAGATTCTGTTTTTCAACTTTGGCAAATGGCATTGAAGGCTGTGGATATTCTAGAGGAGGAGCTCAAAGTATTTCAAAAGGATGGAAAAGGTGGCAAGTGTTATGAAGAACAGGTGAATAGTATTAAAGAAACGTATTCAGAAGCGATAAAAGCACTTGAAATAAAGTTGGTTCAAGCCAAAGAGAATTTTCTGAAACATCAATCGCGTTGGGAATCCTGTCGAAACAAAATCGAAGCGTTGAATAAGGAGAAGAATGACATTGCGCAGAAATATACGGCTTTGCAAAAGGATGCATTGGAGAGAGAGAAAGCCAGTCAGGAGACCATAGAATCCTTAAGAAGGGAATTAAATGCATCACAGTTTGAACTGCAACGGTCTAGTGAGTTGCAAGTAGAATTGGAGGAGCAACTTCGGGATGCAAAAAGAATTGTGTCTGCTATGGTAGCTAAGGACGACGAAACAAAAAATAAAGTATCTGAAGCGATAGAGTTAGTCGAATCTGCGGTGAGGGAAAAAGATATGGCGCTTGCGAGAGAAGCGCGTGTGACGCAGGAAAAGTCTCAGCTGGAGAATAAATTGACTAATGTTCCACAAGAGTATAATGCATGGTTACAGGTGGAATTATCGAAAATGAAAGAGACATATGAAAGAAATACGAAGAAGTATATGTTAGAAATTAAGGAGCTGAAAGCGGAATTACGACAGAAGGGAACATTGCTGGATCGTGCTCAGCGAGAATGCCGATTGGTTGAAGAAGAGTTGGATAAAGTACGAAATGGTTCAGACGACTATTTGCATAGATCAAATTCAAAAATTTTAGATTTGGAGCAAAGGCTCAAGGATACAGAATTTAAGTTAGAAACGTGTGAAGATGCTTGTCGTAAAAAGTATGAAGTAAAGATCCAGCAACTGCAGCAACAATTGCAGGAAGCTGAAGAGAAGATTACGATGTCGGAAGATCGTTTAAGAAGAATCCAAATGCGGACTTCGCGGAATGTTGAGGATCGTATCAAGGAAGCTGAGGAGAGAACCAAGGAAGCTATTGAGAGGTATTCAAATTTGGAAAGACGTCTGGCGAGAACTCTGGATGAACGGGAAAACCTGGCACAGGAATTGCGATCATTACAATCTGCCTTTGATCGGGAAATTCAAAGAAGGGATCATGAAAGACGTTCCCTGGAAAATCGAGTTCGCGAATTACAGATTGATCTTAAAAGGGCTACAGATTCGATGGAACAAACATCGATACGCGGTAATTGTCTAGCAGATCAAATTCATATTTTGGAGCAAGAGGTGAAAAAGAAACACGCCACAGATAGAGTTGAATATACGAGTAGTGAGAAACTGTTAAAACCTGAATTAACGGACCATTTGAAAGTCTTGCAAGAGAAATCTGACAAGAGAATAAAGGAATTGATGGAACATGTTGAAATTCATCAAAGGCTGAGCAAGAAGTAAGAATTGAAATGCAATAGTGATGTACATCAAAGAATGGAACAGGTGAAATATGAAAATAATTATGTTTTTTATTATCATAGGTGGAAGGAAGAAGCAAAGTCAATTGCAGCAAGTTTTCAGAGACGGTCAAAGGAATTAAAGAGTAAATTGAATGCATTACGTAAGGAAAATGAAGAATTAAACAGAGAATTGCTTGGGTGCCGACAGCAATTGGCACGTTGCCGAGTAGAGGTTCTTCATAGGTAATATAATATAAATGAAATGATAAATAATAGTTGTGATCAGAATAGCATAATTATGTCTACATGTTGTTGAATCTTTCTTTTAGATATGATCAGGGTGATGGGACTAGGTGACAGCATCATCAGGACATAGCTTGTAGGTATACATCACGTTTACAATCATCTGTAAATAACACAACAAAGAAAACTTTTATTATTTCGAAAATACATTTTGGTACCAGCCACATCAACTATTAGTTGACATTTAATCCTAAGTTCCCAAATTCATTGTCTTATATGAGCTTCAGCTACGAGCTGGAGTTAATGCATGCTGTGAACATACTGGGAAACCAGTAAAGAGTTTCCTCTTCCCCTTGCAAATCTAACCATGCTAAGCCTTCTTTTACCATGTGATCCAATGCTTTTTGTGTCCTATCACTTTCCCAACGGAGTTCTTTTTGTAACAAAGATTTGGAAACATATGCATTTCCAGACTGACTGGCTTGCTGTAATACAGCTGTATGATCCATACTAAGTTCTCCTGGAATTGATTGTACTAAATGTCTTCCTCGGCCAAGAGGAACAATTGAAAATCCATTTCCAAAAATTTTAAGCTTCTTAGCAGCTGCCAACAGATCCTCGTTGGTTATTTCTTGGTGTTCTTTGCGACGTCCTCTGGCCTGAATTAGCCTGTCCCTTAATTCATCCAAATAAATTAATCCACCATTCTTGTAGTTTGTAGCTAGGCAGACTTCAACGATTTGCACAGCGAGTTCATAGTAAAAATCTCCAATGCCAAGAACTGACCAAAATCCTTTCCCAGATGCAAGAGGATCCACGCCAATCGAGGCACACATTTCCGTAAACTGTCTACGAAACTGAGCATTTTTTTTAATTTCATTCTTGTGCTTTGCAGCAAATTTTTCAAGGTTAATTCGAAACACCTCCATCTGCTTGCTCATTTGCTCCAACTGATTTTCCTGGATTTCCGTCCCTTTATCTTTGTACTTTTCCTGTTCCAGTTTCTGCTTGTGGATTGCTCCGACACCTGCTCTTCGTCTCATTTTTAAAGAAGTTATTCACAACAAACTACAGGTTATATTACGAAATTACGAGATGCGATATGACTAAAATGTTTCTACTCAAAGTTATTTTATTAATGCACAACGATGTCACTCGTGTTTTAATCGCTTTTTATTAGATGTTATTTTTATAAGATCAGTTCATCTATGATTAAAGGCCAACTCTTTAAACTGTCAAGCAAAAATTTAATAAGTCGATGCTGTCGCGCTACTTCACATAGGTAAAGCATTAACCTATCTTGCTTCGGTTTTTGTTGAATTTAGCACAATTTATGAAAGCCCGATATTAGCGTTACTCGCTTTCATGGCAGTGTCAGTTATTTATTTAGCGGTAATGTAAATCCGAATGCATATGCATCGGCCATTTTCATTTTATTATTCTACGTTAGAGGCGCTATGGTCTGTACAGAATTTCTACTAAGTGAGTTTACATCTTTAGGTCGAAGTTTCTTTTAGGTCAAAATTCCAATATGGCGTCAGCAATGGATATCGACGATGAGGAGATTGATTTACCCACTTCCAGTAGTGGTAAAGGGGAGAAAAAACGATTTGAAGTAAAGAAGGTAATTTTAGAGATAATTTTAAAAATATAATTTGATGAATGCTCATATTTGGTCTTTATATTGGTTCAATGACATGGGCTCAACTTAACCTATTTTACGCGATGTCACGCTACATCTTTTGTTTACGTCCAATTCTTTTTTGTGCAAGGTTGTATATTTTCGTTGCAGTGGAATGCTGTGGCTCTCTGGGCTTGGGGTACGTAAAAATGTTCCAAGTATTTTGTACATCCTTGTTCTATGTGACGGGTAAATTGCAATTCCGGCAATTTGATTTGTTTTGTTATCCCATAGTCAAGACAACGTTTCATGTAACTTGAAGAATTCTTTAATTAATTCCTAATATTCTTACTTTCAGATATCGTAGTAGATAATTGTGCAATCTGCCGCAATCATATAATGGATCTGTGTATCGAATGTCAAGCCAATCAAGCCTCTGCCACCAGTGAAGAGTGCACAGTAGCTTGGGGTGTTTGTAACGTACGTTGTGTAGAATAAACAAATTTTCGAATTTGGTTATTAATATTGATGTACCATTACTTGCTTAATTTATAACATTCTGTTCTTAATAATACAATCTCATTTTGGTTGCGCAGCATGCATTCCATTTCCATTGCATCTCCCGCTGGCTGAAGACTCGCCAGGTTTGCCCACTCGACAATCGCGAATGGGAGTTCCAAAAGTGAGTATAATATAATCAAATTTCAATTTAGGATCCTTGTTAAGCTTTTTAGCTTTTGAGTACGGTTTGCGCCTATTAAATTAGTCTTCTCACAGCAAACAATATAGCACTCAAATCAATCAATATAAATTTATATTTGACACATGAATTTATATTAAACACATGAATTTATGGATTAATATTTTAAAGCAATGGTTTCTTTGTAATATAGGTATGGTCACTAACTGGATGTTCTCAACTGCCAAGGACATCAGAACCGTCGAAAATTAAAAAACCAACAGCTGTTTAAATTGTAATGAAGACTCAAATTTTCCTTTATTAAAAGCAATCTATGCAGCATTTAGATTCTTCTTCAAGGTTCATAGCCCTAGCAGTTTTTCCTAATCACATTAAGAAACGCTTGTCTGTCAGATTGTGTATTAATTTGATAATTTCGACACTTAGACTCGTCTGCAAAGAACTTTAATATTAATAATTTTAGCTAATATTAAAGTCACAGCGCGATATCTACATGCGTAACTTATAATTGTAAGATTCGAAATAAATGAGATACTCTAAGAAAAACACTGCATCATTCATCAATCACAAATAATCGAAGAATAACCATAATCCAATATCAAATTAACGTACCTCATATCCCCGTTAAACAAAACTATTCAGAAATGAATTTGAGATGCGTTATACTCGTAGCCACGTAAGCGCGAATACCTTTTCTCGTTTCTTGCTTTTTTATTGGGCCCCGGATGATCCGATTATCCGGTCTTACAGGGGCTTCGCATTGGAAAAGTTTCGTCCTGCCTTACACAAACGAATGTGAAAAGTCCTGAACTCACCCATTTCTTCAACTTGCCACAAGGACCTTCATGGAAACTCACCACTCTCGTCACGTTTTTTCTCCGTAAGCGCACCACACGCTCTTCAGTCCTTTAATTCTTAATTACGATTAAAGAATGAAAATGACAACCTAGCTGGCATTAACTTTAAACAGTGACTAAGTATCTACCGAATATTACTGTTGTTACAACTACTACTGCTACTATTTACTATGACTGCTATTGGATAATAGTCAGAGGTGGTGGGACAATACTTGCCACGCGACTGGAGGGAAAATGCGACGAGCTGGCTTCTAATCCGGGCATACAGCGAAAATTACATCCTCGGAGACCAACTGGCATTTATGAAGACTCAAGGAACCACGGAGCATTACTAAGGTCCCTCATCGACCTTACTTCTTTTCTTGCCGGTAACGCACCCTCGCCGGCTTTGGAAAATTCTAAAATCCGGATAAAATACCAGTTGGAATTCTAAGATACTTTTTAAGCCTTTATTGTTAGTGCAAATGCAGTCTGTAACTACAAAATATTTTTTTCAATTAGAAAGCATTACGTCTGCATTTAGTTACATTTCGATTATAACTCGAGCTTAGCAACCGTCGTGGAAAATAGAAAGGGGATGATTTTTCATTCGCAACAATTTTCAAACCGTTACATTTTATGGGAGAAATAGGCAGCGCTTTTGAGGGATGGTTTCTTCTCGGGGTTGACTTGGTGTAGGTACTGTCTGTGCCCCATCTCACCTTGACGCTTACCTGAACTCGGGAGATGGAATATAAATACGATTTTCAGGGTGCGCAAGGACTTGGTAGTCGCGAAGGCCTCATTTCCGCCGGAAAACAGAGCATCCCTCACCCCTAAACCCAATGGCAACCTCGTGTCTCTTCTCACCAAAGACCAATCGAATTAAATACATTTCTGAGAATCGACCGGTGGTGCTTACCCGTCTCTCCTTCGCTCTGGTCACCCTCTCTCTCTCTCTCTCTCTCTCTGTCTCCCTTGCGACATTTTTCCATCGCCTCTCTCTTTTTACTCCGGTTCGCAGGTACTTTTTCTTACCGAGCTCTTAACTTTCTTTTTCTTTCTCAGCTGACCCTCCGAGCTACCCCCGGCGCTGGAAAACGCTCGTTTCATCTCGTTATCCGAGTTTTAATCGCAACGGAATCGCATCGCAAGAAGAAGAAACAGCAAGTACTTGGCTTTCTTCCAATTAACCCTTTCAGCCATGATCATTTCAAAGTACTATTTCATTTTTTTTCCCTAAGAGTTACCGTGGTTTGTCAATTTAAGTCAATGAGATATAAAATATCGATTATTCTCATTACCGATTATTTCCTTTTAAATATTCTTGAGTCCCATTTAATAAAATCGTTTTTCAATTTTCGAGTTTCAACTATGAAGATATTAATGGATGAAAATACAAAATCATATACGATTCCTTAAAAACGTTTTTATTCGACCCGACTGGCTTTTCTCCCCACCCGGATTCATTCTCAAATTTGAACAAGAAGGGATTTGCTCAAAACTTGACGCGCTCTCCGAAATTCGTGCCGGGTGTTTCCAGCTGTACGTTGGGTTTTTATTATTTTAAAAAATCCCAAAACCCATCCATTATCCGTAGCCTCGATAAATCCGCGAGGCGTTTGAGCTCCTGTGTTTGGCGGATATATCAACGTTTCTTAGGGTTGTTTTGTGTCTTTTCTCTTCCGAGCTGTACTGGTAGAACAGCAGGGGGTGCAGGACACGGGACCACCACCCCGAGTACCACCACCAGGATAACCCCTACCAGAGTGAATCTTCCGCGTAGTTGTAAGTCGGTATCTGGTTCTGGTCTGTGGTAGTGAACGTTGGTAATGCCGAGTTGCCACGGGAAGGGAATTCTAGTGACGGTAAATCCTCGTTAGATCCGAGAGAAAAACAAAAGCCATCGCGTGGGAGGTCAGGGGGTGTCAGAGAGTGTTAGAGGGGTGTCAGCCTACGACCCTCTAGCAGCCCTCTGTGCTTCTTTAGATATTTCTCGTTTTCTTTTCCCTATTCGACCGATTCCTTCTGCTGGCCTGTATTCCCTTACAATCCGACTGGCAATGTCCTTTTACTCCCTTACATCGCCCTGTTTTGCACAGCTTAAAGAAAACATTGGGGCTAGATAGATTTCTGCATAAATACCCGATAGTTACTTTTAGTTGAGCTTAAGAGTAAGAAAAAAGTTTGACACACTTCTCGTAAGACTTGAGTCTATTTGGTCAGATTAATCATCCAACTGGGCCATAAGAGTCTTTTCGTATCTTTACTTCAGGATATCTCTGAGCTGACAAGCCCTTACGGAAAGTTACACTTTCCAAAGTATTCTTACGTTAGGTACACTCACCCTAGAAAATGGGTGGATCTCGAGAGTTTGGCGTTAGGACATTTTCTTCCTTTTGACAATAAATAAATTAGAGAGAGGAAAGTGCAGCCATTAGAGCATCTCGAGAAAAAGGTTTTACGGATAGAGCGAGAGAGAGGGAGGAATAAGAAGAAAAATATAGTGCCAGAAAATCCTGGATTTATATTTCTTTACGTACGATTGCAAGTAGTACTTATTTCGATTTGTTTCATACAATTTTTCATATTCCGCCGACCCAATCCTCTTTAACATCGGCAATTAATTTTAATTCATTAATTTCGAAATTCCGAGCCCGACAACTGCATCGGCATTTTTATTTAAAATGTAGAAAGTTAATAATAAAGCAAGTGTGTGAGAGAGAGAGAGAGAGAAGTATTTTGTGAATTTGACCAGAGAGGAGATGCTTGTAGTATGCTAGTTCTTGGCTGACGGTTCTGAGAGCACTCAATAGGCTAAGTAAATCAGAGTCCTTTGGGCCGGCCAGCTGGCTGGCCGAGCAGGAGCAACAAAGGGTTGCTAAGAGCCCTTCACTAGCCCACCACTAGACCACTCAGTCCCCTTGCTCCTCCTGCATCTCCTGCTTCTCCTATGGCTGGTGTATACTCTTGGTTCACCTACCCTTCCACAACCCATCCATCAGAGGTTCATTCCCTTCTCTTTTAGCTGGCAGTCGCCCCCTTGCTTCGTGACGTGATTGCCACCCAAATGTGTTTACGGTAAACTGTATCAAACTGTCGGTGCGCCTACGTCGATAAAACTACACTCCTTTCCCTTTTCAATTTGGCATCTTGGTCAGTATTTGCCTGACCTGCCAAAGTGAACAAGCCTCAATCATGGATTTACTAAAGACGCTTAAAGGTTGAAATCGTTCGTTTACACTCGCTCGATATGAAAGCTGTATATGTATGTCTGCAAAATTTTTATTTATACTACATACAAAAAATGTTATTTGACTTGATACATTTTTGGATAGGCTAACACGGCGTGTTTAACAGTCCAGATGGCCTGTACTTGTAGCAGCTCTTCCATACTTCAAAGAGACAGATCGCTGAGTGAAATCTAAAGAATATTGCTAAGGGTATCGATACATGGGTAATGATGGTCCAGGCCCAGACTCCAAAGAATTGGAGATGATCCGGCCGCACTACGGCGCGGGATTTCTCTAATGTGTTCACGGTCCATAAAGCGAGGTTCACCACGATAAGAAACGTTATCAATTCCTTGCCAGGTTTGTCGTTCGTTCTGGATCGTCTTCTCCAGCCGATCTATAGATCGTTGATTGATTTTCAGATCATATTTACAGAATCACAGAAGATCGACCTTACCTTAATGACTAGAGTTTGGATGGTGCTTTGGATCAGAGTGAGAAGATCTGCTGTCAGCGCGAGTCCCCAGTCTGGTCCAGTTGTCAGGATTCCGCCGACAGCCCCGAAAAGACAATGCAGATATACTCCAGCCTGCGCGGCTGCCAATAAGGTTGCATCGAGTTGAGGAGGTCTTATGTCTTTTAATTCTAAGCTTTTGAGCATAAAGGCTGCTCTGAGCGATGCTATTAGAGCTGAAATAATCAAGTCACGGTATATCCACGAATGTGAATTATTTATTTTTTTTATTTGCAATTAAAATTAAGCCAACCAATTACCTGCTATTAGTATTGCTGTTTCTAATGCCGTTACTTGTTTCACGGCCATCATTGGTTTGGAATCTTTTAGTACGAAAAACATTATCAGACTAAGAACCGTCCCAGCTATCACTAGAATACCACCGAATAATCCCCTGGTGTGATATAAACATTATATAACGAGCTTAAAAATAATTATTCATTTATTCAATAAACGTATGATTCACTACTATCGCATTACCTATGGGCGCTACTGCAGTCAATGCTAAGGTGATGCAACGCTCTGGTAGGTACATCGCGGTTAATGGGAACCCGTTCGTCGACTCTCTTCCACATTTCAAAAAGTATCACAGCACAGATAAGACTGAACTCAATGGTACATGGAAACAGAAATGGACTAGCATTGCGTAGTAAAGTTCTAAAGATTCCATCGTCCCCTTCGTGAGAGTGTTCCAGTTGAGCAATCTCGTGGCGAGTCTCTTCCACTAGAGCCTAAAAATGTTTAATTCCCTTAACTGTCACTATAAATTTACGAGGTCTCTGATATCGCACACCTGTAGCCACTCGCAGAGATTCGTAGCAATCATGTGCATAAGACCAAGTTTCGAGAGCGCTCCATGCTTAGCCAGTTCGAAGTCCTTGCTGTTCAGGAATATGAAGTGCATTTGGGCCGTGACCAAAAGTAGCCTCGCTGTTGGTATAATCGCCCTGAATGGTCCGGATACTATTTCCGCCCCAATTTGTAACCCAGTAAACACTAATGAGCCAGCTCCGAAGCCGACGGCACCGAGTCGCAAGCAAAAGCTCCCGTACTGTTGTACCTGATCAGAAAATATCTTGAGATTTGAGTAACGAGCCCTTTCACCATTTTTCCTCGTCGCCAACCCCTATTTTCTCTGTCAATCCCCATCAAATCGACCCATCACTTCTGACCTTTTTTTTAACCCCAGGCATTCTTTAGTACTCACATACTTTCATATGAGACTGGAACTACGAGCCGCTGACTTTTACTTTGGATCCCGGTAATTCGTACACTTGGTTACATGGAGCGTGAACCCCGGAAGTGGCAGCAGGAAGAAAGGGTCGAGTTCAAAGTATCCCCCTTTTTCCTCGACCAACCCGCCTCAATCATCTGACATACATAGATACATTTGAAAAAATCAAACTGCAGACTCACCCGTATTGTACCGGATTGTACTTCCTCCTCTTCGAACTTGAAGCTCTTTCTATTTTTAATATGCTTCACCAGGAGTCGCTTGACGGCCTTATCGCGCATCAGGGTCGTGTACAGGGTGATAACAAACCCCACGCTTACTATGTACAGGTACAGATAAAATCCCTGAAAGTCCAACAAATAATTTACTTACAACCGGTTATACTCTATTTTTTTTACTTATATATCTATCCGTTCTGATATCGGAACAAACCTTATCCAGAGCCGCAGGAACTCTGTGACTAACGCTGGCAGTCACAGGTACGGCTACTCCAACAACCACAAGCAGCTTTGCATAAAGCGAGCTCAGGCTGGATGTGAGCTCTGCATGGTGTTTCAGCCTGGGTCGAGTATGCGTTGGGACCGGAGGATCTGGAGGACTTGATACTGTTGCCGGAGGCGAGTCAAGATATACAATGATTACCTCAGGAATAATCGAAGGGTTCAAGCGATCTGGAGTATCCTTACCTTTTGTCGTTTCAAGAGTAGTCAGCGGTACAGCTGCTGTATTGACAGGAGTCAACTGTAGCATACTTGGTCGAGGTTTACGATCATGACTTCGTATGGAATTATTCCTGGTCAGATTAGAGATTGGTATGGCTCTGCGTCCTATTGCTATGGGTCCTGGGAGTTCTTGATCCTGCTGAGGGACGCACGATGGCAGTGACATGTTGCTGCCTATACCGTTTAACAGAGCGCTGAAAAGGGCCGCTAATTAAAATTTATGGCGCTTCATTCATTAGGAATATTAATTGTGGATATCTTTAATGATAAATTCAATTTTGAATAAAGGCGGGAACTGTCTAGAACGGTGCAACGGTGCAGTAGCAGGCGAACCATCAAACTTATGCCAGAAGCAATTCTATGGGTATTGTCTTCCATTTACCTGATTAAACTCGATTCGGGTTAGTATATTCGTATAAGGTACTCACACTGTAACAAGGACTGGCCACGTAAACTATTACACAATGTAGCCTATTGTTTGGCCCCTGGCGAAATTTCGAAGGTTCGACGTTCTGGTTCGTAATTTTGTTGGTGATTTCGGGAAATGCTAAGTAGTAGTTGCACCGGGTACTTTGTGCGATTTCGATAAGTTGTTATAAATAAGTATATCTGTATATAATATAGTTTGTATAATCACCCAAAGAGAGCTCTTCTGTGATTGAAGACTGCATTTAACGAAATACTCTGTCTTTTTAAACTCGGCGATCTAGCTCTTGGCACTGAGTGACTGTCTCTTCGTTCGAATCCGTTTGTGCTGGAAGAAGGTTCTCCAGGTGCTTGTAGAATTATTGGCTCATGGGGATCCAGACTGCGTAGAATCATATTTGAGATGAATTCAATTTTTTTTTTCTTTTTTTTTTTACTCAAAGTATATCTAGCCCTGATATATCGACTGATCAACTGCTACTGATACTGCAAGACGTGAAATTCTTATTTACTAAAGAAATTTGCATCCTATTCATGAAATTATCGATGGCTTGGTAATTATAATTAAATTATATTTCAGGTAAATATCACGTTGATCTAATAGTGCCGATAGGAATAGACATAGATTTACAAAATTTATGAAAAATCTTAAGGAATTGCGAAAATTTATGCAATTGGGTACTTGATGTCTATTACATCAGGAATTTAATAACTTACGCGGTAATTGTGTTATTTGCCATTCTGATATGACGATCCGTAGTAAGAAGTTGTTCCAATTGGAATTAACTGGCGGCACTTGGACGTTGGTGGATTGAAGGTAAAGTCTGTAAGGGTAAGGGCAGTTAAGCGCAAATACGTGGAAGGGCGAACTTTTACAAAAGTTTCTTAGCGAAATTCCCGCAACAATCGTATTCCGTTTACTCGTCGACAATGTGTGAAGTTTTCAGTATGTAAAAAAAGTGATTCCTTCCCCTTCCCTCCGCACCCCCATGATTCCTCTTTCCCTCCTTCTTTATTTTTTTCTCAATCCGTTTCTTCTTCTCTGCCCGTCTTCTCTCTTCTTCCTTCTTCTCGTATTTTACGAAACTTGGCGAAATTTATTCTCTGAAAATTTTCACCCCCTTTTGAATTTTTAGCAGAAGACTGAAGCGACGTACACTCAGACGCGCTACCGGGAGAATGAGGATTTTTATATATTTTTCTCTTCTTTTTTTTCAATGGTTTATCTCTCAATGCTTTCTTCGCATGACATCACGATCTGTAAATTTGCCCATCGTTTCGCAGTCTTATCACCGAGTTAGTCTGTAATATTATCAAATTTTTTTGCAGATCGTTAGAAACAGTAGGATCGAATAGAAATCATGAAAAAAAATCAAATAGAAACTAATGTATGCCAGTAAATATCAGAAAAGAGTTAGAGGTAAAATTTGCACACGCGAATTCTTTTATCGACGCTTCAAGTGTCCGGTATGCTGATTTTTATTGAAACACGGGCTTTTTTTAACACTCTGGCACTTTGGCACTGTCGTTCCTGAAACTTCTTAAAGTTGACTGTTGATTTCCTTTCCTCAAGTTTTTTGAGTATCACCTTACGACGAAACGGCGAAACTCGCGCGAGGTGTTTACGTCGTTTGATAACGACTTAGAGTATTTGCGAATCGATCGTCGAAGTGAAAAGTGCCTGGAAGGCATCGCGAATATGTAAGCTTTGGCATGAGCGCAGAAATTAGCACGTCTCGATACTGCGTCTACGACCCTGGTAACTGATGCGATGAATCTGTGAGGGCGTTTGTCAATTCCTCTCCCGCCTTCACTCAAGTCGTTTGCTAATTAACACTAATAACTCTTCTGTATTTAGAACATTCGCATATCGCTTACACGCTCTCCCCATTTCTCGTGACAAACATTAGATTTGATTTTCAAACAGAATAAAATTTGCACGCAACTCTATACGTTATATATATATGTATTTCACATGCGAGTATCACTTGCAGATATTTTCTATGCAAGTATAACTGCTATGCATTCACGCAATTTCATTTTCACAATCCCACGTATCCCTGGTATCATAATCCCTGCGTGAACTAAAAATAGTCTTCCACCATTTTTTTTTTCATTTCAAATTTCGACTCTCGATCAATCTGAGTTTACATATTTGCAATTGGGTTGTTGCAATAAAGCGAGAAATGACGAGCGATATATCGTTTGCAAAAATAGAAACGTTCAATTCTACTGGGTTTCAGTCATCAAATTTAAAAATGTCACGACTGTCAATGAACTTGTGAAAAATTTGCTAGACACGTCTACATGAAGTAATTTAAAAATGTTGATTTAACTTTAGGTAGGTAAAAAGGCAGTCACGTGTTACTGCTTCTAAAATCCTAATCGGTTAAGGCTTTAAGGAAAGCCAATATTTCTCCCGAGGAAATTTCATCTGTTCTCACAGCCAGAGACGCGGCCAAACGTAAAAACAATTCGTTCGCGTCTCGTAGATCTTATGACACTTTTTTAAGCGTTTACGACGAGGCACGATTCGCGTGATGCGCAACCTAAGCATACCGCGTAACGAGCATCAACAAGAACAACAAACAGAGCGTTAACCGATAATGGGACCGGTTTCAGTATTGACGTGGAATACTAATAAATATTGACATTTAAATTGGTAAAAATTGGTATCGGGTCTGCTAAGAGGACTAATTGAATTTACGTTGCATTCCTATGTGTTTGAGGCGTTTCAAATTTTTATGGCAAACTATGGCCATAATGGAAATAAATATTACGCTAAGTATTTATGCAAAGAGCATAACGCACGTTGAGAATATATTTGAGTGTTGAATAATTCAAAATGGATGACGAGCGATTCCCAAAAGGACGACAGGTTAGGAAGACAGGTGAGATTCCAGGAGATGAAGGGGGGTAGGGGTTGGTTCGGTAGGGGTGAGCAGGCAACCGGAAGCGAGTTCGCCGCTCATCTGCGTCAGCCCCCTGTTCAGGGGTGGGACAAGGGGGGACCGGAAGTGCCCGGATATGAGCTTCCGGCGCGGACAATTTGCAACGCGAAATTGAATGATCGACTCCGATAACCGTCGCGTCTGCTCGGCCTGAAATTCTCGGCTGGCTATGCTGCCTATCGAGAGGTTATTACACAATGATTTGCGTCATTACCGGAGAAGATCTGCGAGAGAGCATTCAGAGGAAGAGAATGAGTGTGACGAGGAGAGAAGATACAGAAAGTAAAGAAGAGAGAGTGAGAGAGAGAGGTAAAAGGTGAAAAAATAGATCGGCAAGAGAGAAAATGGAAAAGGCTGATTATAATGGCTGTTGAACGAATATCAAATTTTTTAGTAAAATTTACGTCAAAGCAGTTACGAATTTGAGGATCATCAATTTTAAGACCTATCATTGTTTCGCGAATTACTTACGAGTTCCTAACAGATGACTTTATGTGAAATATATATAGAGCGTTAGGAGAATTTCCACGGTGTGACTCGTATCCATTTGAATTGGAAATATGTTTATTCTTGACACGAGGTATGAGCAATATTTACACTACAGTAGGCGCAATCATGGCACGTACCAATTGCTTTCAATCTCCCTCGCGTTTACAAACTAAATTCCGCTATCAATTCGGCCACTCGTTTCTGTATTTCCTTCTTTTTTCAACGTGCCCAATGTGCATGTAACGCCCAACCCTTTACAGTTATTCTCCACCCCTTCTCCCCCACCATTGGTTAACGGATCGGTTCGTTTCCTATTATAGATACAATTCAATGAGAGCTCCACTTTCTCCTTTACTTTATAAAAGCTACTAGTACACAGTATATCAGTCTGCATTTTTTCGTCGATGCATTTTATAAATATATGCATATAGAAAATTGCGAAAGTTGCGTCATATCTAAATAATATATCGATTGATCTTAAGGTCGAAGAATCGCTAGGGTTATGTAAATTGGCGAAATCGGAATATAAGAATATAAATATGCGTATATATAGGGTGGGTGTTATTCGCGAATTCCTCTGCATCCCCCGTGCATGTCGAAGGGTCACAGAAGGGCGAATACGCGGATATAAATGCAGGCAGCGAACTGAACTCCATTTACCGAACGGTTGAAATTGCTGGGCGGATGAAAGAGGGTAGAGGGGAGCTTCGTAGGGATGCTGGTTCCCGTCAACGTCGATGGGGATGATGGGTAGCGCCGATAGTGTGGTACTGTGCTAGGTCCCGGTTAGCTTTCGAAAGGCCGGCAGGAGGCCGGATAGATTTCAATTGCCAAAACGCTCGGCTGACTACGCCGGGCCATTTTTGAACAACGATCTACGTAACTCGGCCTCAAATAGGACGAGCGAGTTTCCTAGCTATACAGTTCCATTGGCTACGTCTATTGGAAAATTTATTCCAATATTTTCAATTAAAGTTAGACAAAGCCCTGTTTGATAACACCTCGTGTTTCGTCGCTCTAGTTGTCAGAGTAAAAATAATATGGCTGGCATACACTGTATGCCGTTACTGTTTCCATAAAGCTCTATTTCCAACCAGTCGTTCTTGAGACAATAAATGTTTTTTTCTCGGTTTCCTATGTCTGATCATACTACATTATACAATATCTATCCTATATTCACACGGCATATATATAATGCATATGTGTATACTGGTCCCCTTGGTGAGTACACACCCGGTACGAGAGGAACATGGCTCGCCTACATGGCGAACAATAATTAGATGCGTAACGGGATTGCCGCAGATGTCACGTGGCTGTCAGAAGAGCTGTCAGATCCCGTTAGTAGAACAGAGACAGCAGCCAACCGCACGTACGGGACGAGTTAGCCCGTGATTCGCCCGGACAGTTCAATACCAATAATAAATAAAACGGGGAAATAGCAAGAATGCATTTAATAACGTTACATCGATAGGCGTGATAAGAGCGATAGTTCTGATAGGTACGATTCCACCGATCGGAGAATGTATCGACGAATAAACGAAGAGGCACTTGACACCGTATAATCCAGCGTGCAGATAAAATGGCTTGTGCCGGAGAATACAGTCTCGCAGTCATAAGATAAATCTGAGTAGCCCTATAGCCAAGAGTGGGAGAGAGTGAGTGAGTTTCAGATTGATTACCAGCTAATATTAGAGGAAAGTTCCAAGCTTTGGCTAAGTGAATAAAGCTCTGAAAAATTCGGTGGCTAATTCATAAAAATTCCAGGCCGTTTAGGGAGGATGCAGCCTTAATGAGGCTGAAGAGGTTCTGGCTTGGCTGTAGGCGAGGGTGGATGGGCTCTACTGCTAGCCTTGGTAGGCATGTTATATACGGGATGAGAGTGTAATGGGGGCTCGATGAGAGTAAGGCTTTTTCAAGAGGGTCCTGGTCTCTTATCCTTCTTCTTCATTTCATCCCCTCCTCTTCCCCTTACTTTCTTCTCACTCTCACACATACTCTCTCTCTCACTCTCTCGTCCCTTCGTCCACGTCTTCACTCGTTGCTCTCTTTTTCTCTCGTTTCGCACCGCGAGCATTCGTGCGCGCTTATTCAACTGACGTATCTCGGCAATTAATCAAAAAACTACCTCGAAAAGCAGAGTCCGGGGACATTAATCTCGCGAGGGACGCCGCGGACCCTCCCGCGGGAAAACCGGGACCGAATATGTCTTCGAGTCTCGGACACCTGCTTTTATGTTTACGGAAGCGCCGAAAGATATAAATGATCCGCAAGAGGGTGGTTGGATTTACAGAGGGGTTACGCGCATGATTCTACTGTAGCATTTGCTGCTGCTGTCTCTGTTAGCGAGATATATACTCCATGTATATTTTTTACATTGCCAAGAACCTAACGGCTCGTTTAGCACCCCTAGGAAGCTTAATGCGAAACCCCTGCATATCCCGCTAGGTGCGACATCGGTTTACCTAAGTGCGGATGCAGCAGGGGTGCGTCATAGGTTTTATTAGTCCAGAGAGAGAGAGAGAGTTGTGTGTGTGTATTTTTTAAAGCATTTACGTAGAACGAGTAGATCGGTGTTACTGGCTGCTGGACAGTTGGTTGGTGCAATAGGACGAAGCTGGTTGGAATTGAATTATGTGGGAGAGACGGCGTTATACTGTATATAGCAGTGGGGGTGGTTTTTTAATAACGGCAAATAAAAATAGTGCAATATAAAAGAAACTCTTAGGGTGGCAGTATACAGGTGAAGGGGTTTACGCAGCTAAAGGATATCACCCGAGACTAGGAGAAACGTTCAGGATCCACCCTGTACGCCGGGACGGCAGGAATTGAAATAATAAGGTTGCAATAGAACATTCAGTATTGTCCCGAGTCCGCCGGGATCAATGGAAATTAATGAATGGCCTGGTGTAGTAGTCGCTTTGACTCCAGGTTAAAAAGAGAATGAGAAAAAATGACGCTTCGCGATATCCTACCCACGTACGTACATGACGGCGATACTGTTAGCGATACGATTTGATTTATCATTAAAATTGAAAGTCCCATCCCTCGTGAATTTACGCCCTTGCATCAGCTGTGTACATTGCCGACCAACCCCGTTATGCAAGCCTCCGCACTGTGGTCATGGCTGTTACGTAATCTCATAGATATGTCCAAAGCCCACTTGTCAGTAACACCTGCACGTGCGAAACTGCTTACAACAATACAGTAGTACGTATCATTAGATAAATATGAAATATACAAATTTTCAATCGTTGCGTATGAATTAAAAAAATATAAAAATGAAATTTTTTAAACAGTTGCCACTAATGTATATGGTT